AATTAATCAACAATATACAACTTAACATCAATATTACTCATCATCAATTATTATCATTTAAAATCTTTTAAATATAAATAATTCATTATATTTTAACATTTGTATCATAACACATCACATTTTATCATGTTATAATAGAAGTAACATATAACATTTTCAACACGTAATCATCAATTAACATACAACAACACTTTTGCATAACACAACACAATTGGAGTTCTACCAACTAAAAAAAACTCTTTTTTATCTCATATGAAAGATAAAAGGATTATCTACAACTCTTATGAAGACCTCAAGTTTTAATTCCATCATCTACTATGCTGAAAACTTAAGAAACCCAACAGTCTACATAAAAGTTGACAACTTGACCTATGCTCATTAAAAGAGTTATAACTTGAGCTCTAGATCTCCTTTTTGGGTGATTTTGATGCCATTGGAAAGTTAACATCCATAACTACAACTATCATGAAGACCACAAAAATTGATTCCAACTTCATTGCTCTTAACGCGATGATTTTACAACTAGCACGAGTGTAGGGTTTGCACTTCATGAAACTCATAAATTTTGAATTTCCCAAACCACGAAAATCCATCCTTAACTCATATACTAATTTCAATTTCAATTCTAAAGCAGGAAAACTCATATAATCATCATTACAAAATATGATTCTAACCACAAAAGTAACATGTAAATAAGAAAATTCCAGAAATCAACCAACTCATCAAGTCACAACCATGCTCAACAAAACTACAATAAAATCCAGTCCACTTCATCTAACCCAACCAAACATCCAACGAGAATTTTGACAACCAATATAGTGTATTTTAGACCCCATTTCAACATGCAAAATACACATAAGAATAGGTAAGCTTCCTTTACCTCTCTCAAGTTTAAACAACCAAGAAACATGGAAGACCAAAGACTTCGTATGAATACTCTCTGTACTCAAAAACCCTAAGCCACTCAACTAGCCTCATAACCAACAATCAAACAAGAAATCCAACTTCAAGAATGCCTAAGGATTCCAAGAGTTAGGGCCAGCTTCACAAGCAAGGGAAAAGGGGAGAAGAAGGTTCAGTTAATACAAAGAAACCCTTTTACATAGGCTTTTTCTCTCTTTTATCCCCTTTTCAAAAAACAAGTTATGAGCTCTTAGGATGAGAACCCTCTCCCAACTCCTTAGAACAACTCAACTAACCCCCTCCACTCTCAAATTAGTCCAAAAGACTCGGCTCACAATAAGTGAGTCCTAAAAAACAAAAATCACTTAAAGTAACTTATCAACAACAATAAACTAATTACCAATAAAATAAATTCAATTAAAACCAAACAACAACAACTAATTAAATTAAAACACAACAACACAAATAATTTAGTTAACAAACCATCAATAAATTAAATTCAACTTAACAAACAATTTAAATTCAACACAAACCTCACATAATTGAAGTTCAATCTCTTGTTTAAACATGAATTTGTGACCAAGAATATAAAGGAGAAGTTATATGTCTTTATTAAAGAAAATGAAAATTGACTTTTAAATTCCGATAGAGTCTTCCATGGAGGAGAAAGGTTTTCTAACCGTTAGATAAATACATTTTAAAGTTAAGTATAGATTTATTGTTGTCAACCAGTAGCTAAAAGAAATTTTAAGGGTATTTTTGTTCTTTCACCCCTAATTTGTTGTAAATCCTAATACAAAAGATAAAGTGATATAATATAATAAATTTGTTATGATGCCCGCTTAAGAATAAAAAATACGTATGAATTTTATTTATGTGTAATAATTATTGAAAAATTAAATTTATTAACTCAATCTTTGAATAATTATTTATTTAACTCAAAAAATAAAATAAAAAATTCATAAAAAAGTTAGCACAATACTTTTGCTTAGTTAATGTACACATGTAATTATATATACTATAATTCCAAATATAAGTTGGATCAAAAGATTCAAAACTAATACTTCAATTTTATTTAAATTTTGTGTATTAATATAATAAATTAAATTTTAATAGAAAATAAAGTGGTATAATATAATAAATTTATAAAAAATAGATTGACCCAACTTCAATATGATATTTTTTTGCTAAAATAGTATTTTAGTCCCTTATAATAATTGTTTGTTTCAATTTAGTCCCACTTTTATTTTTGGTCCCAATTTGATCCCTAATAAATTAATTGGTTTCAATTTCGGACTTCCGTCCAAATTATTTAAACGGAGTTAACTGTTGGTCACGTGGATGCTACGTAGATGCATAGGTGGATGCCACATGGATGCCAACTTTTTTAAAAACACCTAGAACTAGAACGACCCGTTTTGAAACCAGAACGGACCGTTCTGGGTGCACTCTTGGTGTGTTAATTTTGCATCCGGAACGGGCCGTTCTAGTTTCAGAACGGGCCGTTCTGGTTCCAGATTACTAAATATAAACGATCAATGATTATAATTCACGATTGTGAATCGTGGAAGAAAAAAGACCCAAGGTACAAAATATTTCAAACACTGAATTTGGTAATGTTGTTAATGGAAATTGATAACTTCAATTGCTAAACAGTTAGGCTATATAGTGTATCATTAAGGACAATGCAGTGTATCACTAAAGATAATGATAGCAGATTTTATTTCATTTCAAACTGGAGTGAACCACTTACTACTAAATTGACACTATACAATAAAGGATGAAATGATATGATATTTTTTCTTGAAGTCATTAACGATGTACCCCAACAACAACAACCTGTTCTTGAAGAGGTAGAACCTGAAGTAAAGGAAGAAGATACACATGACTAACATTTCACCACACAACCACATGCAGGGACAGAAAATAAAATATTTATGTTTAACATATAAAATATTTTTATTTTAAATGAATATAAAGATTTAGAGGATACTAAAAAAAAATAAATTAATAATTTTATTATGTTTATTCTATTAATTTTTATCATCTTATTCCTCTAATTTTAAATAAGTTGCAAAATATTATAAAGTGACACTTAAATATTTCTTCAGACACAAAGAGAAAAAGGAAAAGTTATTACTCTATTTATAAGACAATTGTATTTTATAAAAATAAGTAATTTTAAAATTTTACCATAAAAAATTATTTTTTAAAATTATTAGTTTTTTAATAAAATTAATAAAGAATATTTTATTGTCTTCATTGAGTTCTGGAACGGGCCGTTCTGATGTACTGGTAGTGTGTTAATTTTGCATCTGGAACGGCCCGTTTCAAATGCAAAATTAACACACCAAGAGTGCACTCATAACGGCCCATTCTAGTTTCAAAACGGGCCGTTCTGGTTCTAGGTATTTTAAAAAAAATTGGCATCCACGTAGCATCCACCTATGCATCTACGTGACATTCACGTGACCAACAGTTAACTCCGTTTAAATAATTTGGCCGGAAGTCCGAAATTGAAACTAATTAACTTATTAGGGACTAAATTGAAACAAAAAATAAAAGTGAAATTAAATTAAAACAAACAATTATTATAAAGGATCAAAATATATTTTTAAAGTTTAGGGTCTAGGGTTTAGCATTTTTTTTTTTAACTCGAGCGAGGCTTCAAAACCTCAAATCACATGTAACAAAAGGTCGAAACTACTATTGCAATTTCTTCTTCTTATATATGTTCATTTTAAGAATAAAATATTTGAGAATATTTATACATGTCTTTTCGTAATAACATATTTTTACATTTAGTTTTAAAGTAACGAATGTAAAGTAATATATTTTTTTTATATCGTAATATAACTTTCTTTCAACTCCAAAAAGTTAGAATTTTACCTCATTAAAATAATTTCGTGAATAACATAACTATGATTTTTTTATCTATGAAAGAACATTTTCTAGTATTGCTATTTTTTAAATAATAAATTAGATTTAAAAGATCAACATTTTTATTTTCATATTTTTGAGAAATTAATAACTTTTCGTGTAATAAACACAAGGTGCATTTGATAGAAATAATTATTTTTTATGCACAAAATTATGATCAGCAAAATCATAAATATTGGAATTTTTGATTTCTTGGCAACTTTAATTTCTTTTGTTAATCATAATTATTCTTAAAAATAATTATATATATTTTTGTGTAAATATTTTTTTTTGCGTTTAATTTTGATATATTTCTTTTCAGAAACTTTAATTATTTAATATATATATGTATATATAATATTAAATGACTTAATAAGTGTAATATGATGCTTTTATTTTAGAAAAATATTTCTTTTAACTTAGTAAAGTTAGATTCTCACATCTTTTATTAAAATATTCTCACATCTTTTATTAAAAGATTTTGTAAGAAACATAGTTAAAAGAATCCTAAAAAATAAAAATTTTGGATAACTTTTTTTAAAATAATAAATTAATACACAAAAAATAAATATTTTTTAAAATACTTAAATTTTTTATTTTATATTTTTTTTATATCAACCTCTCCGTCAAGAGATTGATTTCAATTAGGTAATGTCTACATACACTCATGGAGTATTTGATAGAAGAAATTTGTTTCTTAGGAATCATAGTCATATACCAAGAATTAAACGTCCTAGTAATTGATTAAAATTTATTTAAATAATTATAAATGTGTTTTGGAATCTTTATATATGTTATTTAACATAATTTTATTATGTTAAGTAAGTAAATAAAAATAACCTAATCACAATAAAACTCTCATTTTAATTTGAGAATGTTAGATTCTCACTCATGAGTATATAAAAAACTATTACCAAAAACAATAATTTCATATGTTATTTTGATAATTAAAAAAGTCAAGAGTGAGAAAACAATAATAGTTTAATAATTAATTAGAAAAGATTATTTTTTTTAATAAATAGTAAATGTAGAAGCAGCGACGTGGCAAATGTGGAGTTCGTGATTCGTCCAAATGCTTCAATCTTCGTTGTTTTTCAAGGAATATATAATAACACATCATTAATTAAATTAATTGAAGTAAAACAAATAAAAGCATAAAAATAAAAATCTGGATATGTTACAAAACTTAAAACCCTAACCCATTCAATTCAATGCAATTCTAAAAATTTTCACAATCCCTTTCTATTTATTTTCTCTCCGATCTTCAACGAGATTTTAAGGGAACACTCGTGTTGTTGAGCCTCGCCGGTCCTGCATTTTTCTTTTGTAGAGAGGAGGTTCCATTTCTTGCAAAAAAAAAATAAAAAATAAAAAATTATTATTTTGTTTTATTTTATTTTTGTGAAATTCATTTCTAATTGGTCAACGGTGGGTTTCTGATTTATGAAATTGGCCTTGTTTCTGATCGCAGGGGGAGGCCATATTCGTGAGATTTTTGTTAGAAAGATGAAAAACACGGAGAGAATTGCGAATTTGGCTTTGGCGGGTTAGTTGTTATTTTTGTTGTGTGGTTCTTGTTGGTAAATTTTCTCTTGCTTTTCTGCTTCGATGATAGATCCTTCGATTGCTATTTAATTAAAAGTAAACTTGTGTGGACATTAATTTTGGGGTGTAAGAGTGTAATATATGCTTAATGTGGGTGAGTTCATTTGAAACGTGTATGGTGGCTGAAATTACAATTTGGGTATTTTAGTGCAGTGCAGTTGCTATAGTTTCTTATGGGACTGTTCAAAATAAAGGGGTTTGAGTTTAATGTGGTAAGTTGTGGGCTTGAGTGATTGGAAATGTGATTATGGCACTACAGGATTTAAGAAGGTACGAGGTTTAGATGGTTGTGCTGTTGTGGGTTTGGGTTTTCCATGAGTGAATCAGAGGCAAGTGATGTTTGTTATATGCCTTTGGAGTTCTTTGTTGTCTAATTTTAATGTATCTGTGAGTTTCAAAGTGGAATCGGTTTTTTGTTCCTGAATTCTTTCATTGTTGTCCACCCTCTGGTTATCTCTTGTGGCAGGTTTAACCTTAGCACCTCTTGTTGTGAAAGTAGACTCAAATGTAAATGTTATCTTGACTGCTTGCCTCACTGTGTATGTGGGATGTTATCGTTCCGTCAAACCAACTCCATTTACTGTAAGTAGTGGCTTTTATCCTCACTGTCTCTGTGTTGCACTTTTCAAGTCTGACTTGTCATGTACTGACTTATCTTCATTGTGCTGTGTATAATAATGCAGGAGACGATGTCCAATGAACATGCCATGCGATTTCCCTTTGTTGGGAGTGCAATGTTATTATCACTTTTCTTGCTCTTCAAGTTTCTATCTAAGGACTTGGTCAATACTGTATTGACAGGCTACTTCTTTTTACTCGGAATTTTTTCTCTGTCGTATGTTCTTTTCTTTGGGCAATGGCTCCCCTTTGTGAAATAAATGGCACACTTATAATAATGTGTGTTTAAATTATGTTGCTATTTTATCTTACCTTCATTCTTCTTTGTACAGGGCAACATTATTACCATCTATCAAACGTTTTTTGCCCAAGCCTTGGAATGAAGACCTCATAGTCTGGCGTTTTCCATATTTTCGTTGTATGTAATGTCTTTGCCTCTTCTATTTCCCCATACTCTTGCTTTGAATAATTTATCTGTTAACTGTGGTTTCAGAAATTATATATTCTTGTTGTATATAAATGCATGCCATCTCTTATAGTGCATTTGTGCTTCAAATGCTGTAACTTTATCCTTCCCTTTATATTGACAATATTTTCATGTTCTGGTACTCTCTTGCTATATTACGAGTTTGGAATCAGTTGTCCCCTTCATGTGTTGTTTCATGGAAATTGTATGTGTTAGTACCTTTTAACTACTTACACAACATTATTATTATTATGCAAATTCTATTTGTGTCCATAAATGAATTTTAACCTGTCCTTTAAATGGGACAAATAATTGGACCTTGTAGAAACAGATAATGCTAAATGCTTAATCTTATGTATTCCTCATGGTCTTGTTATGACAATTTAAAGCAAAGTCATTTTCTTATTATCTTAATAATTGGGCTAGGTGGTTCTAGTTACTATCTACTTTGTTTTCAATTCTTTTTGACTTGTATAATCAGATTGAGGGTTGCATGAATTTTTCATTCTATTGCAACATATTGTACTGAGTTGGAGGAGATAACTCTACAATGATGCCTCCATATTGCTTGACTTCTACTTCCTGGGCATCTTGGGAAGATGTGATATTTATATGAATATTATGTGTGTTCTTTGTTTCTTTTTCTTCCTTTTCTGACCAAACATGTGAAGTTTATTAGCTGCTGTGTTGTTGTTTTCTTAATGAGCATGTTTTTAAATCATTTACGATTGTCACATTGTGTCAAAGAATTTACATTTTACCTTTCTGCCTATTTGCACTTGATCTAGTTGACATTATCTTGCTTCTATCATGCAGAATGATATTTTTCATTACACCTTTCTTACACAGCTTTGGAGATTGAGTTTACAAAGTCACAGATTGTTGCTGCAATCCCTGGAACCTTTTTTTGTGTGTGGTATGCTTGGTGGAAACATTGGTTGGCAAATAATATATTGGGTCTTGCTTTTTGTATACAGGTTTGGTGCTTAACTTTTTACCTACGTGTATTTGTTTGAATTCTATTTTCTTGGTATAAAAGAACACCTTTTTAGAACTGATGTGGTTAGTATTCTTTGGATACCATCTTTTGAATGTCATGCATAATCCAAACCAGGAGATGGGACAAATAAATATGCATACTCCTAAGAGAATGGAGTTGAGAAAGAAATTGAGATTATCAGTCAATATGTTTTGTTACTCACATTCAAATTGTAAGCAGTGAAATGACCCCAATGACTCAATATGTAATATTTACAGGGAATTGAAATGCTCTCTCTTGGTTCTTTCAAGACTGGTGCTATTCTCCTGGTATGTATTTTTTTTCCTTTAATTATGGTTTTGGTACTTAAAGCCTTGTATTTATTTCAGATACAACTTTTTCCAAACATCTTGTTCTCTAACTCACTCACCCATCTTTTGGCTGCAAATATACCAAGCTGTTCTGCATTGTTTCATTCATTTATGATAATTTGGTATAAACAATTTTTCTTTATTGAATAAAAATGCCATGAGTTTATTAACTCGCCCCTCTGCCCTCCTGTGTTCCTGATTTGTATTGGCGCTTCTAGTTTATAGTTAGGCCTTGGTTGCAATAAGATTAAGTATTTGTTTCTAATTTGTTTTTTTATTGATTTATTTTGTCTAGATGGTCTTTGAATCTTTTTCTTTCTTGTGTTTTGCAGGCTGGACTCTTTGTTTATGACATTTTCTGGGTTTTCTTCACTCCAGTGATGGTCAGCGTTGCAAAATCATTTGATGCTCCAATAAAGGTTAAAATTTTAGTGAAATGATTTTATTTCCCTATCTTCATATGAAGTTTAATACACCCTTCACCCTTGATTACAAAACTAGAGACTTTTTAGTTTCAAAGTTATTGTCATTTTAGAATTCAAGACCTGATATATTTTTTTTTTCAAGTTATGTCCTCATTTGATAATTATGTGGATAATTGATTTCACATTATCTCAACTACGTACATTATTTCTCTTTCTCATCACCTACCATTTTTCTCTTCTATTCATTCTATTTTTCCATCTCTCTCTTTCTTTTAACTAAACCAATCTCCTATATTTCTCTGGATTTGCTAACGGTTCACCTTGACCAACCATCAACTTTTGATTAGGATCAATAGCTGGAAAGTATTTTAGGCAACCAAGATCTTTAGACTGAGATGTAAGACAAGATATGGAGGGGATGGTTCCAGAATAGTAGTCCTCATGGTTCATGTCCTTTTTCAATCAACTGACCCATACCATGTTCTTGTATTACAATGGAATTGGCATCAAAGGTTATAGAGCAATTTAATGATTTGGTTAATTGACTTAAGGAGATTAAATAAAAGCAAACTTTGGGACAAAAAGGATAGATTTTAGATTTAAGGAGGGAGTGAGAGAAACCTGACCAACTCCTTATGAGACAATTTTGGACCCATTGGCCAAGGTGATGAAGTGAGGAGTTTTAGATGAAATAGAATTGAATAAGGAGCCATCACCGGACATATGATTAGAAGCACTAGAATCTATTATCCATGGACCTTGACTCTCCACGGATTGAGAAATACTGGCTATTGAAGAACTAGGGACAGAAGTTGTCAGCATCTTGCTGTAATAGGTGAAAATGAGACTCACGGAGAAGATGAACAGTAGACCCACGATCCAAACAATTTGTAAAGAAGAAGCTGAGCCCCCGGACAGACTTGGAAGACGTCAGCAAATGCAGTGGAGGTGTCACTGAAGATGACAGACAGTGACTACTGATGATGAGGGACAACAGAGCGGGATTGAACCCGCTCTGATACCAACTTGAATATAGAGAGAAGTGTTTGAATGAAATATATTGTTTGTATCTCTCACATCTGAATATGTATATATATGAGAGAGAATACAATAAAAAAGGAACAGCCGTGTACAAAGAAAAAATATAAAATACAAAATACATAAATTAACAACATATAATCTAACAAAATTCAACCTCCAAAAAAATTGGGGGAAAAAGCTAAAATATTCAAAAACTCATTGAGTGGCTGGGGGATTTTAAGTTATTGTTAAAAAAAATTCATTGTGAAACCCTGTTAAAATTTTTGGTGGAAACTTGAATAACTAGTTAAATTGATGATAGTTGGGAAAAGTGTTTTACTTTAAACTGTAAAAAAAGCATTGAAAATGGAGTAGTTGGAAAAAAAGCATGGAATTTTATAATGCATTTTACGACTTAAATATATTGTGAAATGGTTACTTTGGGTCATTTTATTAATGCATATGGGAAGTTGGAGAAAACATATTAAATGAAATAAATAAGGGTGCTTTAGTCACAATATAATGAAATTTTACATCAATTTAATGATTTCTTTATGTATGTCCATCAACCTTAACCCTTTGTTTGAAAAGAAACAAAAAGAGAGGAGAGAGAAAATTTTGAAATTTGATTTGCAGAGAAAAAGGAAGGACAGAAATTTTTAATATTTATTTATAAAAAAAACAATTCTTCTCTCCATTTTCTTTATTTTCTCTTCAACCAAATATAAAAAAATGCATTATTATCCGTGTTTTCTATCCTTTATATTTTCTTTTCTCATCCAAACAGATCATAAAAGACAGTAGTTCTGAATGAGGGAGGAATACACCCTATACTATTTCATCTTAATATTAATTATTTCATTTGTTTGGCAGCTTTTGTTCCCCACAGCAGATTCTGCAAGACCATTTTCAATGCTTGGACTTGGTGACATTGTTATTCCTGGTAGGTTGAATCTTTTATATTGATGTATTTTCCTGTACTGTTGACAGCCCTCTTGTGAGTTGTAAATTAATGTTTAGTATTTGCTACTACTTATACACGTTATTCGGTTCTGCTAGGCTAAGGTAGGAAAATTTAAATATAATGGGATGGCAAGAAAGAGCTGTCCTCTGTTAATGTCTAGAAAGAGGGACGTAAACTGCTACAACCCTAAATAGGTAAAGAAGCAATTAGCCTCATAATCCGCTGTTTCGCTAGGTCGGGTCAGTTACATCTTTAAACCCCAAGATAAGAGATTTATTTCCTTCTCACCAATTTTTCTTCCATCCCTAGTTTACCCAAATAAACAAATAAGTTAAATATAAATTCTTGTGGTAATATCATCCTGCGTTATCTGGAAGTTCAAAGCTTTTCTCCTACTCCTAGTTTATTCATCCAGGTTTCATGATTATTCTAGTCGTCAAATTTGTTCATCTCCTTTTGATTACCTGCATAATGTTTAGTCCGTAGGTTTAAGAGAACATTATAGTTTGACTTTCAAATACTATTAAGACTGGTAAGGGTTAGTGTTAGGGAAGAAGGTAAAGATAGAAAAGAAAAGATAAACAATGAATATAATTGGTTGATATTTTTTTAATATAATAAAATAATAATATATGTTTATAATTTATAGTAATAATAAAAAGGTCAAGTGCAAGTACAGGATAAAAGCAACGATACAAACTGAATATAATTGGTTGATATTTTTTTAATATAATAACCTAATCCTATCTGTTTATACTTTATAGTAATAATAACAAGGTCAAGTGCCAGTACAGGCTCAACAACAAGAACCTGATGACCCTAATATATTCTAACACTGACAAATCTTAAACTTTATAAAAGTAGCAAACCCATGGACATATAACAACGAACACTGCCAACATTTAAAACAACTCAGCTGATCTCAACAAAAAACATAAGAAACTAATATTTCTTCCCCTTAAATAAAATAACCAAACCTTGGCAACACATTGAGACTTTTTGACTGGTCTTCAGAATATTGAGATGGGTATCACACACAACCCAGTAATGACCTCCTACCAGGTGTTCAAACACTGAATTGGGTATCATACCACCTAGTGACACAATTAGGTTCCTTTACTAGTGACCTGTGGTCAAAGTCTTCAATCTGTGAACCCTTGACTGGAAGCAAAAGAAAGATCCACAAATAACAAACTTCAAATAACACAAACTATGCCAAATAACTATAAGGCCTCGAACAAAACCAAACAGAGGCAGGGCAGCATTGAAACAGCAAATCCCAGGCCACTTAGAGAATTATCACTGACAAGACTTGAACGAACCAAGTAAAGAGGAAAAAAAAAATCAATTTTGAGATGTGGAACCAGCAGAGAAGACAAGCAAAAGTCCATTTGAGAGACTGTTGGCCCATGCAAACAAAGCACAGTGGGTAAGAAAGGAAGGAAATAGCCGGAAACACCCTTACAATGTGTTTGAGATGCCCAACAGTAACACCAAAAACTCCAGAAACATCAGAAGAAGCATTCACAACATATCCTAAAGAATCCACAATAAGGGAAGGAACAAAGGAAAATCCAAAGAGGATACTCATTAGAAACCTCAGCCATGAAGAAACATCAAAACTTTCTTGAATCATGTCCAGTGAAGATAAAATTGGGAAATAGGCCTAAAACGCAAAACAAAAGAATACATTCTGGAATAAAATCAGTTACTGGAAATTGGGAATGTATATGATTCTGGTCAGTTGATATATAGGATCCATTTTCATATCTGGAACTGAAAATCAGTAAATAAAATTATTTTGCTGTTACTTCTATTTATTACTGCACATTTTCTCCCTTCGTCAGGTATCTTTGTAGCATTGGCCTTGCGCTTTGATGTTTCTAGAGGAAAACAGCCGCAATATTTCAAGAGTGCATTTTTAGGATACACTGCTGGCTTGGCCCTTACAATCGTTGTGATGAACTGGTTTCAAGCTGCTCAGGTGATTGGATCTGTAGTTTAATTTATTCATTCTTTTTCTCTTGATTTGTTTTGATTGAAGGGGATTTTAACTACATTCTCAAATTCATATATGGGCTGGTTGAGCATGTGAACATGTCATGAATTTTCAGAGATTGATTTTCTCTATAAAGTTTTAACTTTTCCTTTTATCTTTGTTTCAGCCTGCTCTTTTATATATTGTACCTTGTGTAATTGGATTTTTGGCTGCTCATTGCATATGGAATGCTGATGTCAAACAGGTTTGTTTCGCTTCCTAATTTATCTTCTTTATGTTCTTGTGTCAATGTTAATCCATCATTTTAAATGCATCTGATTTGATCACAATTTTTTTTGCTGAAATATAGTATTCCATTTTCTTATTGTAACCATGTATATTAGAGAAGAGAATAGGATAATAAATACTTTTATTTGTTGTATTATTTACATGCATTCAAATGTATTTTTTTGTTTTATTTGCCAACACTTTAGGTTGGTTAGTCTTGTAGGCTTACTAACTCTCGAGTTAGTTAAGTCTGTTAGGCCTATATATGTAAGTGATACCTCTTGAGTATCACTATCGAATTCTCTCTTATTCAATAATATTTCCTTAGAAAATCTTCTTTCAATTCTTTCTCTCATATGGTATCATTGTAAGCACGGTTCTTTCCGCTTCTCTGCCCACATCTCCGTTGTGTCTCGTCTTTGTTGTTGCCCGCGTTCGTCGTGCTTCGTCTTTGCTGTTGCTTGCACGTTCGTCACGCCTCGTCTTTGTTGTTGCTCGCGCGTTCGTCGCGCCTCGTCTTTGCTCTTCGCTCGCGCTCTCTTTGTCGTGCGATTCTTTGCTTCTGGTTGTTTCTTGCTTCTGTTGATCCAATGGCTTCTGCTTCTGCTTCCTCTGATCATTCTGCTTCTCACACCTTCTCTCAATCTGTTACGTGCAAATTGGATGAAAAGAATTTCATGACCTGGTAGCAACAGGTCACTGCTGTGATCCGTGCCCATGATCTCGAACGGTTTGTTGTTAATCCAAAGATTCCGCTAAAATTCCTTACTGCTGAAGATCGCGACTCCAACAACATCAACTCTGCATACACGGCCTGGGATCGCAAAGATGCATTGCTCTTTTCTTAGCTTCTTTCGACATTCTCTGAATCAATTCAGGCTCGTGTTGTTTCCTGTTGGCATTCCTATCAAATCTGGGATCTTGTTTTTCAACACTTTCAGTCCCTCACCAAAATTAAAGCCACCCAACTGCGTCTTGAACTTCGCACGATCAAGAAGGGGACATAGTCGTGCTCTGAATATCTCCTTCGCATTAGCACTATCATTGAAACTCTTGCTTCGATTGGTACCCCTGTTTCACCCCGCGAACATGCTGAATGTATTATTGTTGGTCTTCCACCTGAGTATGACTCGCTGATCTCCACTGTCACTGCCTTTGTTAGTAGGGATGATATTCTTTCTCCTGCAGAACTCGAGAACATGATTCTTGCTCAAGAGGCTCGTCTTGACCAAGCGAAAATTGCTGTTCTTCAAGAACCTGTAACAATCAATCTTGCACAAACTGCCTCTGTTCCTCATGTGACTCCCAATGCCAATCTAGCCTTTCAACAACCACAGTTGACCCATCCTCAGCCCAATACGTTTCATAATTTTCCGGCTCAGTCTCCAGGTGGTTTCTCTAGCTTCCCTGCCCAGAACAGGGAAGGCGGCGGTTGTGGTCGCCGTGGTGGCCGGAATCGTGGTCCGCCTGTCCAATGTCAAATCTGTCACAAACGTGGCCATGAGGCTCCCGCGTGCTATCAGCGTTTTGGTGGTTTTTCCTTAGGCGGTTTTGGAATGCCTTTCAATCCAATGCTTGCCTCTTACCCCACCTTTGGCTCTGGTTCTGCTTTCCTCCTCACATCGGTGCGGTTCCACATTTTGGCTCTGCAAATATGCTTGGTCTTTCTGGCTAAGTCTCATGGCCTCCCTATTCCTTGGGTGGCTCCTTCGGGTCTGCTCCTTCTGGCTTTTACCTTCCACCACCTGGGTTCACCTTTCCTGCTTCATCACCTACTCAACAAAGCTATTCTGGTGCTACTTCCTCTATTCCACGTGCAACACCCACTCTAAACACAGCTACTGCATGGATCCCAGATTCTGGTGCATCCCATCATGCCACTCCTGATCCTTAACATCTCCTTCAGAGTGCTCAGTTTACAGGAGCTGAGCACATTGTTATGGCCAATGGCTAAGGTACATCTATTGCTTCAATTGGTTCTAATGTTTTTAGGTCCCCTGTTCATCCCTCCACAGTTTTCTGTCTTAAAGATCTATTACTTGTTCCTACTTTAACTAAAAATCTGATCAGTGTCTCTAAATTTTCCAAAGACAACAATGTCTACTTTGTGTTCTATCCTCATTCCTACTTTGTCAAATCACAGGATTTGAACGAGAAGATGGTCTCTATCATTTTCACCCAACACTTGCAAAGAATAACTTCAACTCTGACGGCATACCAAAGCATTCTGCTCCTTTTAATTTGAACCCTGTATTTTTGTTTTTGAACTATGTAAAAATGTTGTTTCCAACACTTATAAACAGTGGCATTTACGATTAGGGCATCCTCATCATGATGCACTAATCAAAGCTTTACACTTGTGTAATATTCGCATTCCTCATGTTAATAAAGTTTCTAACTTTTGTGATTCATGTTGCGTTGCTAAATCTCATAAACTTCCTTCTAAACCTTCCACCACTGTTTATTCTAAGCCTCTTGTTTTTCATGATGTTTGGGGACCTGCTTCATTAGATTGTAGTTGTGGTTATTCATACTTTTTGACATGTGTTGATGCTTGTACTAGATATGTGTGGATTTATCTCCTTCATCGAAAGCCCGATGTTCTTTCTCACTTTTTGAATTTCAAGGCACTTGTTGAAAAACAATTTCAAACTCCACTTAAGGCGGTTCAAACTGATGGTGGTGGTGAGTTTCGCCCCTTAGTTTCGTTTCTGCAACAAGAAGGCATCGTTCATCGACTCACCTGTCCGTATACTCATCATCAAATTGGCATGGTTGAAAGGCGCCATCGACATATTGTTGAACTTGGCTTGGCCATGCTTCATCATGCTTCATTACCACTCAAATTCTGGGATCATGCCTTCGTGATTGCCACTTACCTCATTAATCGGGTTCCTTCTTCATCCATTGGTCATCACTCACCCTACAAGCTGATTCATCACAAAGAACCTGATTACCAGTTTCTAAAAGTCTTTGGTTGTTCCTGTTTTCCATTACTCAGACCCTACAATCAACATAAAATTCAACCCCGGTCAGAGAAGTGCCTCTTCTTGGGCTACTCTCCTACTCATAAAGGTTATAAATGTTTAAGCAAGTCTGGCCGCATTTACATCAGCAAAGATGTCGTGTTCAATGAAGAAAGATTTCCCTACTTCTCTCCAAATCCATTCCCTCTATCCCTGCCACCTCTGTCTCTACCATTCCATCTCTTATCAGCTCTCCCAATTTCTCCTCCTTTAACCCACCTCAACCTAATCTATTCGTGAGTCCTGCTTCCTCAGACTTTGGTCTCCTACACTCCCACTCTCCACCTGCTGATCCCCTTATTACCTCTCTTGTCCCATCTTCCAATCCCTCCTTTACCTCTGCTACCTCTGCTTCCGCTTTATCACCTGCCAGACCCCTCAATCTTCATCCAATGACCACACGTTCCAAAAATGGCATTGTTCAACCCAGAATTCATCCCACACTCCTCCTTTCTCATGTTGTGCCTAAGACAATCAAAACTGCTTTAGCTGATCCTAATTGGCTTGCTGTCATGCAAGTTGAAATCACAGCCTTACATGACAACAACACCTGGACCTTAGTTGCCCTGCACTTTGGCAGAAAACCCATTGGATGCAAATGGGTTTTTCGTGTCAAGGAAAATCCTGATGGCTCCATAAATAAATACAAGGCTCGACTTGTTGCCAAAGGTTTCCATCAACAACTTGGTTTGGATTTTTCTGAAACCTTCTCTCCTGTTGTGAAACCTGTCACCATTCGTATTGTTCTTTCTCTTGTTGTCTCCTTTCGGTGGCCTCTTCGACAATTGGATATTAATAATGCCTTTCTCAATGGCATGCTTGAAGAGGACATTTACATGTCCCAGCCTCCTGGCTTCGTTGATTCTGCCAATAAACATCTTGTCTGTAAGCTGCACAAATCTCTTTATGGCCTGAAACAGGCTCCTCGCGCATGGTTTGACAAACTAACGTCTGTATTACTCATGCTTGGCTTCAGCAAAAGCAAGTGTGATCCCAGCTTGTTCATTTTCTCAACGTCAGCTGTCACTGTTTTCATGCTTGTCTATGTAGATGATATTATTCTCACTGGGAATTCTCCTTGCTGCAAAAATTCGTTACCCAACTCAATGCTATTTTTTCTCTTAAAGACCTTGGTACCTTGGATTATTTCTTAGGTATTGAAGTTAAGCTCCTCTCTCAAGGAAAGTTGCTGCTTTCCCAAGACAAGTACATTATTGATCTTCTTACTAGGGTCAAAATGGAAGATTCCAAGGGCATCTCCACTCCTATGATTGGCGGTCAACAGCTTGCTAAAGATGGTACTCTATTTGATGACCGTACATTGTACAGGTCCGTAGTTGGTGCATTGTAGTATGCCACAATTACGCGACCTGAAATTGCCTTCAGTGTTAATAAAGTAAGTCAGTTCATGTGCTCTCCCATGGAGGAACATTGGAAAGTTGTTAAAAGAATTCTTAGATACCTAAAAGGAATTGTCGGTCATGGACTTGTGTTCTTGCCTGCAAAGCACACTACTCCTTTCAATCTCACTGCCTTTACTGATGCTGATTGGGCATCCGATCCAAATGATCGAAGGCCCACTTCAGCGGCATGTCTTTATCTTGGTACTAATCTTGTGTCTTGGTGGTCCAAGAAGTAGCTGCTTGTTGCAAGATCTAGCACTGAGGCTGAATATAGAGCCTTGGCTCAAGCAGTAACTGAAGTCTTGTGGATTCAATCACTTCTGAAGGAATTAAAGGTTCCCCTAAATACTCCTACTGTACTCTGTGATAATCAGAGTATCGTTGCACTCTCTCACAATCCTGTTTTACATTCACGATCCAAGCACATGGAGCTTGATATCTTTTTTGTTCGTGAAAAGGTGCTAAGCAAGTCCCTTATTATTTCGCATATTCCTACCCAACATCAAGTTGTGGATGTTTTGACCAAGGCCTTGTTACCTAAGAGATTTCTGCTTCTTCGCTCCAAGCTCAATGTTGTTGATTCATCTACTATGTTTCATCCCCCTTGAGCTTGTAGGGGGTGTATTAGAGAAGAGAATAGGATAATAAATACTTTTATTTGTTGTATTATTTACATGCATTCAAATGTATTTTTCTGTTTGTATTTGCCAACACTTTAGGTTGGTTAGTCTTGTAGGCTTACTAACTCTCGAGTTAGTTAAGTCTGTTAGGCCTATATATGTAAGTGATACCTCTCGAGTATCACTATCGAATTCTCTCTTATTCAATAATATTTCCTTAGAAAATCTTCTTTCAATTCTTTCTCTCATAATGTATAATTTACTTAAGAGTTTAAATTGAAGCTACCGTTTCTTTTTCCCATCAGGAAACAATAAAGTAGGGGGCTGGGGTGGGTTCAAGCATCGAAATCTGTTGCCCTCATTGTAATTCATACGGATAAAAAAAAAGTGCTTTTTCCTTAGTAACTAAGGTTGTACACTTACAATATAATCTTCTATCAGTTTCTAATAAGATGCAGAAAATGGTTCCTGATAGTGAGATAAAATTAAATCCTTAGCATATTATTTAAACCCAATAAACAGATTATGTTTTAATTTGACTCAGTGGCACTTTGAAATTGTTTACTCTATCAATACACGAGAAAAATGTCACAATTTTGTGGTGTCCAATGTTTGTCACTTGTACTAAAAGCTTCTTAAATGTTTTTCAAACATATGGCATCATATGGTTTGTCAAAATTAAATATAATAAACATTTACTTTTAACTAAAAAGTACTTGACCGTTGTTTTTACCTCCAGTTGCATAAATTTCTGAAGCAGATATATTCTAATTTATAGATGTTTATATTATTACGAAACCAATTGTTTTTTTTTATTTTTAAATTAGCTTACGAAGGATTCCAGATGTTTTAAATATGTATGATAGTAAATCAGGAAATAAAAGAATACATAGATATAGAAGATAGGCTTTGTTAACTACTCCATCCGTCCTAGATGTAAAATGTAAGACAATTTTTTAAATTTGTTTTGTCCTTCTTTATAAGAATCTTTTTGAATTGTCTCTTTCTTAATTGTTATTATTTTTTGACTAAAATACATTTAATTACTTTACAATAAATGTTATATAGTAATTAGATAAATTCATTCTCTCTTATGATGAGTTGCAATAATTTTAAGGGTAAATTTGGAAAAATAATAAATTGTTAACAAATTTAATGCTACTAACTAAACTTTCTTAATGGGTATATATGAATTGAAAGAGTCTTGTATTTAGGGATAGAAACAATACTATTTTGCAAAAGGTAACTTTCATGTTATAATCAGTTCTAAAAGGTCTGACGTATTCTCTATACTAATACCTTCGGTAAAAATTATTATGAAATGATTTGCAAGTTAGTGAGATGTGGTTGTGTTATTTATATGCTAATATTCAGTGATGTAGCTTAGCTAAGGCGTGACAACTTTTTACTTGTTTCAACTCAGTTATTGGATTTTGATGAGTCGAAGAGTGCCAAATCGTCTCAAGAGGATAGTGATGACACATCTAGCAAAAAGGTTGAATAAGTTGAAGCCCTTGCAATACCAATACTGAGTCATAGAAGAAATACTTGACTTTCTAGGTACCCATTACCCTGTAATGCTAAGTTATTCAGCTGCAACCTCTGTAAAGATTTTTATTGAGGAAAGTAACTAGTCTTATTTTCAGTGTAGGATTTTGCATTCACTTCTGAAGTTTGTTTTTGTGGCAAACTATTTTTGCCATTTTAAAAAAAAAGTTTTCTTACTGCTGTATAACTTGGTACATGGGCCTAATTTTGATAAGCTTCCAGAGGAAGGCATGGTTGTTTGATTCATGTAATGCCTCTTAAATCAGTTCTTCTGGAATATTTCTGCCTAGTGTCATTCATACATTTATTAATAATATATTGAGGAAAATGTTTGAAATATTTTATTATCAGCATGAATATATTATATTATTTTAAAGCAGGCTATGCCTTGGTCTGGACTTATTTGTTTAAAAGAAATGATACGATTTTTTTTTAAAGACATGTAGTGTGAATATTTTGATTTAAAAATATGTTTTGGATTTTGATTTTAATTGTGATCAAGTATGATATTATAAATTCTTAATTTTAATTAAATATTTTCATATTTACTTTATTTTGTATTTGAAGTATGCGGTTTGAGAATTTCTGTTATATCTCCCTAATTGATATATTATGCCCGGTGTACTAATTTTGAAGAACTACTGGTCCGTTTCAAGAAAGCAGCGTTGAATCCATATGATGATTTGGTTAATTATTCAAACTGGAATTAAGTCCAACACTAGTGCAAGGGTATACGAATTTTTGGTTAATTATTCAACTGGAATCACAAGTCGTGCAATTATTGGTTTGAGTTTTGGCACTTAGAAATTAAATTGAGTACAAGACATGCTTGAACGAGGAAAGTCCCACTAATCATCTAACGACTTGAGCTCAATAACCAAGCGAAACACTAATAAATACCCATAAAAGAAAAAATCATCTAATACTTAGGTACATAGAAACATTGCTCTATGGGATCTTAGAGAAACACTAATAAATGCAAGTATGGTTGGCTTTAGTAACCCAATAAAAAAGCACGTCATGTTTAACCCTCCTTAACTCTTACTGTTGAGTAATACTAATACCATGTTCTCTTGCAACTATTTTACTAATCCTCTTAAGTATACTGGTAATATCTTAAAAACATGCATCAAATGTGTAACTAAATATACATAGGGAATTGATGTTTCTCATTAAATAAACCGGCAGTCAGCCTCAATGAAGAAAATTAGTGAATAGCATTAACAATACATTAAATATATCAAATATTGAACATGTCAAATATTGCGAAATTTGAATTTGTTGCTCTTGATATTACGAAAAAGAATTATTTATCTTGGATATTAAATCCTGAAATATATTTAGATTTAATAGGTCTTGGAGAATTTATTAAAGAAGGAAACATAACATTTAACCAAGATAAGGCTAAAACTATGATTTTTCTTCATCATTACTTTCACGAAGGGTTAAAAGGTGAATCCTTACCATAAAAGACCCACTTGTTCTTTAGAACAATTTAAGGGAAAAATATGACCACCAAAAAATTGTAATTCTCCCAAAAGCTCGTTATGATTGGATGCATTTATGATTACAAGATTTCAAATCTGTAAGTGAATATAATTCTGCAATATTTAGAATTACTTCTAAATTGAAATTACGTGGAGAAAAAATTACTGATGAAGATATGTTAAAAAAAATTATTCACTTTTCATGCATCTAATGTGCTCTTGCAACAACAATGTCAGGAAAAAGGGGTTTAGAAAATATGCTGAATTAACTTCCTGCCTTCTTGTGATTGAGCAAAATAATGAACTTTTATTAAAAAATCATGAGGCTCAACCAACTGGTTTTGCTCCATTCCCATAAGTGAATGTTGCAACATATGAAAGACAAACTAGTGGTCGTGGTTGTGGTCACAGCTGTGGAAATAGTTGTGGTCGTGGTTGTAAAGGCAGTTGTGGTCATGGTTATGAGGTAAAGAATAATTTTTCACACTAGAAGTGGAAAAATAATGGAAAAAAATAATAAGGAAATGGATGGACATGGTAACAAACACGAGAAAAACAAGTGCTGTCGTTATGGTTTAGGGTTTAGGGTTTACTAATCATGTTTAGGTGGCAAGGGTCACTGGTCATGTACCTATTGTACACCAAAGCATCTTGTTGAACTTTACTAAGAATCACTTAATAATAAGAAGAAAAAGATAGAGACACATTTCGCTTATGAAGATGACGATTCAAATTATGGCCGTATGGATGTTACTCACTTATATGTTGCTGATTTCTTTGTTGATCCAAATGGAAAAATTGATCACCTTATTGGTGATGGGAGTGTCTAGAAATATTTTTTCTTTCTTTCTTTCTTATTATTGGAATTTGGGTATTTCTTATGTTTTGATGTTATTGGACTATGATTTTTTTTTTAAATTTATATAGATTTTCTTGTTAGATTGTTATCATTTAAAATATTATCATATTGCTTATTTACATTTTTTTTAATTTTTATGAAGAATGGGTATTGACACTAGTATCGATAATGAAGATATGTGTCTCCCTAATAGTGCAACGACTCACACGATTCTCAAGAATAATAAATTTTTCTCAAATTTAGTGATGCAAGAAATCAATATTAGTACCATATCTGGTACTACAAATATAATTGAAGGCTCCGGAAGAGCTAATATATTGTTACCAGGAGGAATGAAGTTGCATATTAAAAATACATTATATTCTTCTAATTCTTATAGAAACTTATTAAGTTTCAATGATATTCGTTTAAATGAGTTTCATATTGAAACAAACAATGAATGGAATGTAAAATATTTTTATATCACGAAACTCTACTTGAATAAAAAGGAAGTATTAGAAAAATTACCTACTTTCTCCTATGGACTATATTGCACATATGTTAATACAGTTGAAACACATATTTTAGTAAACAAAAAGTTTTACAAATCAAAATAAATTTGAGGTTTGGCATGATGCAAAAAAATAATTGAGAATTCATGTGGACATTTATTGAAGAGTCAAGAGATTCTTTAATCAAATATTTTCTTATGTACTGCTTGTTCCCAAGGGAAGTTAATAATTAGACCATCACCAACAAAAATTAGGAATGAATCTATCTTATTTTTAGAACGGATACAAGGTGATATTTGTGGCCCAATTCCCCCCTAGGTGGACCATTTAGATATTTTATGGTTTTAATTGATGCATCAACAAGATGGTCATATGTTTGTTTATTATCAACTTGCAATCAGACATTTGCGAGATTATTAACTCAACTAATTAGATTAAGATCTCATTTTCCTGACCATCCAATTAAGAAAATTCGTTTAGATAATGCTGGTGAATTCACATCTCATGCTTTTAATGAGTATTATATGTCCATTGGAATTGATATTGAATATCCAGTAGCACACGTTAATACACAAAATGGACTTGCATAATCATTCATCAAAAGTTTAAAACTAATTGCAAGACCATTACTCATGAAATCAAAACTTCCAATGTCAACTTGGGGGCACGCAATCTTACATGCTATAATTTGCATCAGGCCAACAAGTTATCACAAATTCTCTCCTTTATAGTTAATTTTTGGTGAGCAACCCAATATTTCTCATTTAAGAATCTTTGTGTATGCTGTATATGTTCTAATTTCCCCTCCCTCAAAGAAGGTTGGGAATATGTTGGGTATGAATATCCATCTATAATAAAATATCTTCAACCATTAACAAGAGATTTATTTATGACTCGGTTTGTCGATTGCCATTTTAATAAGTTGGTTTTCCCAACATTAAGGGGAGAGCACAAACAGCTAGAAAAAGATATTAGTTTGAATGAATTATCACTATCTCATCTTGAGCCTCGTACAAAACAATGTGAATTGAAAGTTCAAAAGATAATTCATTTGCAAAATCTAGCCAACCAATTATCAAATGTATTCATAGATCCAAAAGGGGTGACTAAGTCATATGTACCAGTGGCTAATGCTCCAATAAGAGTCGAAATCCCTGTTGGACAATTTAATACTGTATACGAGTCACAAATATGCTTGAAGCATGGTAGACCAATTGATTCCAAGGATAAGAATCTTCGAATAAAAAAAGGGACTAAAACGCAAATGACCAAATTGAGGATATCTACAAAAAATATGGCATTTCGCGACCATCAAAATCGGTCGCTAAATTGCTAAAATTGATCGCTATTTACCTTAGCGACAAAATTAGCGACCGAATTTAAGTAGTTGTAAAAACCCTGGTCGCAAAGCTATATAGTGACGAAAAAATTTTCGGTCATTGTTTAGCGACCGAAAATTTTGGTCGCAAAATGGTTGCAATGATTTTGGTCGCTGATGTGTAAGGGGACCAAATTAGTGACCGAATAAATCATTCGCTAATATTTATTTTTTATTTTATTAAATTTTATAGACGTCGCAAATTTGGTCGCTACGAACTACTCATATTTGGCCTCTCAAGAATTCTATTTCACAATACTTTACTTTTCAACATGTTTTGTCCTTAATTATACAGTTTCTGGAAAACTTCCCAGAAGGTCACCCATCCCTATATTACTCCAAGTCAAGCACGCTTAACTGTGAAGTTCTGATGAGATAAGTTATCGAAAATAGATGCATGTTGTTAGTATAAGTAGTACAAATTAATTCATTTAAGTCATCCTCAACTATACAATCTCATACTTATACTATCTTTGGATCTTTCTCATTTTGGTGTGTCCGGACCGTTATAAATATATAATAATATATATAATAATTATATTACTAATAATAATAATTATATTATATTTAATTAATCTTCATTTATATATATACACTTATTTTTATAATTAATAATATACTTATTTCTATTTAAAATTAATATTATGATACAATTTAAATTATTTATTATAAATTTCAAAGTTTAAATAATAATTTATATATTTTAAAACGAGAAAGGTTATAATAACACTGGTATAACTTTTACTAAGTATTACACCGCTCAATAACTTTATATTAAATGTGAGATTTGTAAATCCAACCGTTAGATTGCAAATTCATATCACTTTATATGTTTATATCAAGTTTTGTTAAAGTTGAACAACAACTTGAGGGTAATCAAAGTGCTCATATTTTATTATATTCTGAATTGTATATATTACGTCAATTTTGTTTTACAAGAATGAAGTGTCAAATCATCTTGAATTCATATAAAATTTTGTATATATGATCTAAGGGTAAAAAACTTTCAATCTAACGAGTGAATTTATAAAATTCACATTTAATATAAAGTTGTTGAGTGATGTAATACTTAGTAAAAGTTACACTAGTGTCATTATAACCCTTCTCTTTTAAAATATTATTTT